GTCAGGTCCTCCTATCCCAAGCCCATCTCTGATTTTTCAAACTCATCTTTAGGCTGGTCTTGGAGCCCTTTTAAAATTTCTTCCTTACAAAGGTTCAGTAAAATTAACTTCATGTGTCCCCAAGAATGACATTAGCAAAACTTACATTGTCTGATAATTTTTTCCAGTGTGTTTGGTTGGGGTTTGTTTGGGGTTTTTTGCAAGCCTACGAAATTACACATAAAATTGACATAAAATCAAGAACTCAAGAGTTAGGAAGCCATATTATTAAAGCTGTTTGCACCCTAGTCTTTAATGTATTTCTGTGCAAACAGTTCAGTTATGAGCTCGTGCTACCAGTTTTGATAGGGCTCAATGCCTCAATCACCCCAATGACGATCATGTCTGTTATAAGAACAGGCCAGGGCATTATAACATAAAAAAAATTGATTTCTACAGGAAATAAACTTTGACAAAGTTGAACGAATAAGGCAGTAAAAAAAGCAAAACAGTCCTGGTTAATGTAGCCAAATGCTGCACTGGAGAAGAGGATTCAGCTCTGCTGCTTCCTTGGGCTGCTCAAGAGGTACTGAGAAAATCATTGAACCCAAATGTTTCACCTGCAGTTGATGACTTCTCATGTCTCTCCTCCATACCCAACCCTGCAGGTTGACAATATAAGATGCCAAAGCACTCAAAACTAGGGAGTTTCCATGAAACATGAAGTTTCAATGATCATTGGACCTTAAATTGAATAACTTGCTGTCATTTTGAGTCACCTCACAGTCCCAGATCCACCCAAAACCTGTGCCCATGCTGGACCTGGAGCTCCTCGAGCCTCACTTCTTCCCCTGTGAACTGGGACAATGCTATTATTTCTCTTTGTAGGGGAACTGTAAAAATACCATGCAGACCCACCACCTTGTATGCATATGTAAGCACGTGGAGGTCAGGGAAGGACTTGGGTATTACAGCAGTAAGTGCCATAGGAAAGCCCAGCAGTAATTATTAATTCCATCTTCAAGCTCGGTTTGAATACAGCTCAACAAACGAAGCACAGAAGAATGAGGGCAAGATAAAATATTGACTAGCTGTTCCATCATTGTCTGGGCTGTGCCCTAGATAGCACAAGGGTATTTTGAAAAAAGCAGAATGGAAACACCTAATAAAGGCTGGAGCTTTAAGGATTTGAATTTTCAAACTTAATTTTTCTTTTTGAGATCATTTCCATGCAGTTGTACATAACTCTAAATAGAGATACAGCCACATATAGGCATGCACATATAGAGAGGTTATATAGGCATGAATATACAAACATTTATGTGTGTGTACCAAGTCTTTTCTAAAACATAAACAAGCATCTGACACCTAGTGCAGCCTCTGATGAGAATTGCTCTCTCTTCCTTGAAGACTACTACTAGTAATTATTTACCATTAGTTCTTAATGGGAAGGGATTCAGGGGAGATGTAGTAAGCAAGAAAACCGTATAGATCGTTCAATATAGCCTGGCTGGCTCTCAGCTGATGCAAGAAGTGATTGGCTCACACCTCGTGGATATTTCAATCACAGTTTTTATCACCCGGGAAAAGCACCTTATTAACCTGTACTTGGTCAGGTCTCTACCACGTCCATATAGGCTGTCAAGACCATACAAGTGCCCCTTCTAGTTCATGTTACCAGGCTTCGAACCCTAAACTGCTGTGGGGTTAAACAACCAACACAACAGAGACCTGAATGGCATAGATTTATTTTTATTTTGCAACAGGGTAAAGGTTCCCTCTTCCCATAACAGAAACATCCAACATCCAGTGAGGCAAAAAGATTGTCCTAAAAGGTAATGCTGGTGATTTGCAAGTAAAGCTGTCATGTGGGGGGAAAAAAAAAAGTCCTCCATGTGGATTATTTCATTACTTTAAAAAAAATAGAACAACTCAAGGAAAAGGGTCATGGTAAAGGGACTGTGGTATTTTTAAAGACATGTGCCCTACTGCGGATACATTTTCTGGTGTGTCTCACATCATCACCCCATTCCTGTGACTCCTCCACCATCAGCAGGAGTTATGTGCATCAGCCTGGGGAGCCCCAACACCGGGTAGCCCATGTGTGAAAAACACCATTTTTTTTCGTTACGGCACAGAACTGAAGTATGCAACCAGCACATGCTGTAAAGGCATTCAAGATATGACAAAAAAAAAATTGTTCAAATGCTCTCAATCTGCAGAAAACAAATGCTCTCTTCACTGATTGCTCTGTGGCAAACTTCTAATTCCAGCCAGAAAATCCAGCATTCCCAGTCTGGGCTAACGACCATGCTACCAGACATGAGTTTATGTTTTTCATGCACATTTCATGTATTCCCACACGCTGTGTTGCTGCCAATAATTTATGACTGATCTGCACCCAGCCTGCCCTTCAGCATTTTATTTAATCTCTGCAACAGTGATTTACAATGACTCATCATTAATACAAAAATGTACATGTGTGTTAACAAGTTTGGAAGAATCTAAGAAGGAAGGCAAAAATTTTTTTGCGAGTTGTGGCTGAATGACTTATGAGCCTGCTGAAGAAAGGCAAAACTAACCAGAAATGATATGTTAGTTTTTCCCTGCAGCAAATTATTTAGGCAAGAAGAGTTTCTTCTGCACATTGCCTTGGAAGAAAAGAGACTCAGTAAAGGCCTGGAGAGGGTTGCCCCATACCCTCCAGGATTTGGGAGGGGGTGACTACCTCATTGGTCATGGGTATTTCTCATGCAACCTGTGCTTTCAGCAACAGCTTCACAGCCTCCTTGTTCCTTAGCATTCATTACAAAAAGCAGGGGTTGAATTGCCATATTTTGGCATCTTTGCCCACCACCTGTGATTTAAGAAACCCTAACTGCCTCTATAGTGCTGAATCCTTGTTCCGCTGGGGAGAGAAGGGGAATTGTGTCAATAATTTATGCAATTGTAACACTACAGCAGAATTACTGAACTAGCTCAAGCAGAGGAAGCCTGCCCCACATCCACAAGAATTCACTTATAATGTATTTGACCTCCTTTTTTTTTTTTAACTAGCACATAAGGAACTGATAAGAACACACCTGACACAAAGCCAAAGTAAAAACTCCTCATATTTGAGGTGAGATGAGTACTAAAAAACACCCTGGAAAGTCACTCGGCAGAAATTCAAACAGCTTTAGTTCAAGGCATCCCACGTTCATCATCTTGAAAAATTTCTTTGATGGACCATCCTAAACTGACACACTTGCACACACCAAATCCTACACTCCTGGACCCCGCAGAAGGAGCACACCCTTAACTCCACCCCATCGTTAAATAAGACCCTGACGAATATACACAACTTCTCAGTGGGACAAAGTGCCCATCGTTAAACTGAAGGACAACCATATAAATTAGGGTAATGCCCAGACGAAGGTTGGAGGATGTAAAGCTGAAGCAAACACTAATTTTTTCTGGCCAAGCCAAAATGCTGTAGGTTACGCTACCTTATAACACATAAATTTTATGTTTAGTGCCTTCTATTCCTCCTTTTAAAAGTATCTGGGAAGCATACTTCATATCCACTAAGTATTTGGTATTTTCCTTTATTCAGCATCTTAAAGGGCTTCAAAAAATTGATCTCCCAGGGCTGCTGTGGGGTCACAGAAATTGATAACCCTTACAAGCTATGCTTATGTGAGCCCGCCTGCGTCTCCCAGATAGTGCACTTTGTAAATTAATCCTCCAAAGGCAAATATATTGTAAGTAGCTTGTTATCTCCAAAGTACTAAATTGAAGAATACATGGGATTATATTGACAGAAATTACATTTTCTGTAATGGGGTTTAATATATCTGAAATCTCTCCCATAGGCTCCTACTCTCTCTAAGAGAGGAGGGTTTGTTAATGTAGGTGCAATGGACATCAAGACCAAATTTATTCACTAAAATGGATTAGGCCATGTAATCAGAGCTTCAGTAATATTAATCTCTGACACTTATTGAATGGAAAAAAAAAAACAACTTTTGTCTGCAAACTGGCATTCCTCCCTCCCTTTTCCCCAGCAGGCTTGCTGTTTGCCTTGGCCATTTTCTGGGTATTACTTCAAAGAGGATAAGGTTTCCCATCATAAACACTAATCTAAAAATATTAGGACAATTAATTAGATACACTTAGTTTTACAAGGTATTAGATTGCAATACACTTCAAATATGACACTTGTTCCGAGATAGTGGGAGGAACCTACATTTTGATGCAGTATCAAAGGGTGATAAATCAAACTTTTTTTAAAAAAGGTTTGCTGTTGTATGACACTTAAATCACAAGTAATTTTCACTGGTTGCCTTCACCACACCCTGGACACTTAGCGACCCAAAATCCACTGCAGAAACAGCACAAATCCTGATTTCCTTCAAACAAATCTCTACTATAACAGATCAGGGGCTCCATCAACCCTTAGCTAGAACAAATAAATGAAACTGCTCCACATTGTACTTCAGCCACAAAGAACCATATTATCCTCAAAGTTGACTTAAGCTTTCAAAAACCAGATCTTTAAAGCAAACCCATAAAGAGACATGAGGATGTCAGTCAAAAAAAACCCCTCCAACAACAACAATAAAAAAGCATGACAGCCCCCCCAAATAACAATACACTTGGCAGAAATGGGACCAACTGCCCCTTTTCTTTCACTCAACATCTGAACCTTTTCCAAGACCAGTGTTCTGCAAACGGATGTGCCTTCCTATTGAAGAACTCACATCCTCAGCCAGAAGGAGGACTGGCACCCAAATGGCAGTCTGAGATCTGAATCACTGAAAATTTGAAATCTGAAATACTGAAATCTGCCCAAGTAATGGGGAAATAAAATACAGTAGCAAACCTCCTAGTTCCTCTACCTGAAAGCACTCACTTGGCTATATCCCTTTTGCATCAATAAACTGTTGGGGAGGGGAACAACAAGGGCAAGGTGTGTCCCCAAAACCACAAAGCCAGAGGGTGCCAGGGGCCATACAGAAACACTAAGGAAAATTACTTACCAATTGTTCACTTGAAGTATAGTGAGCCCTGTGTCTTGTGCCAACTGCTTTTTCTGTTCTTCTGAAGGGTAAGGGTGCTATAAGACACCAAAATAAATATATACATTTAAAACAATGCGCTTTTTTTTTTGCCTACTTTTTATTTAAAATTAAAAAAAAAATGCAAAAAAATAAAACCAAAACAAAACAGAAGCGTGACATCTATTACTGAAAGGTGAAAATGCTGAGGTGTGTCACTCTTTTATAATTATTAATGGGCTAGTACATCACTTAATTAATGGCAGTAAAAGACAAGCCAATTATAAAGATTAGTGAAGTGGAGAAATAACTGCTTAGGATACTGACAGTACCTTGATACTTGAGAAGGATATTTGTTGCATTAGCTGCAAGTTTTTTGTACTTGTCTCAAATGACTGATTAGAGTCAAATCATCTTTTTTGTTGGGTTTTTTTCTGTATTTTACAGAACAATAAAGAATGTGATAAAGCACTTCTCTGTAAAACTAAAATACACTGATGTTTTCTGAGATAGTGAAGGCAAAATTTGCCAGTGCCCCCAAATAATTTGCAAATAAGATCAGCATCCTGAACATAAACAAACGCCCGGGTTTTGAACACAGGCCAACAGAAGGTCAACAATCAGCACATTTTTGCCTGACACTAGCATAGCTGTGCTGCACTAATCCTAAGAGACAGAAAATAAATACTGCTTTAATTGATGATAATGTTAAAATTCAATCATAAATTAAGTTTCTTGTGAGAACTTGATTTGCTTTCTCAGAAAATTTGCTTCTGCATGAATACAGATTGCTTAATAAATCAACAGCAAAAACCACAGCCAAGTTTGAAATGTAGAAATATCATTTCTGTCCTTTCCCTCTATGTAAAAATATCACTGTCCCAAAAGGAAGTGGCCATATATTGCAAATGTAACAATTTCAAGGAAAAGTCCTGTTTTGAGCATCTGGTTCAGCTCCTAACCTGGATGCCCACACATTGGATTTAGACGTGGTTTGCTGCAAGGTGCTTAACAGCATTTCAATAAAGATAATTTCATATAACTGCTTAGACCTATCCCAACACCATTTAGCAATTGATTGTCACGAAGTATTTGCTGTTACACAATCATCCCCTTTTTTTCCCCAAAAACATTCCCATATTCTGTGGATGTATTCTTCAGTGTAATATTACATGAGATGTAAACTGAAACCTTGTAAAGCATAAGAATTTAAAACCTCATAAAATTTCACAATCTTATTGGTATCGTAACTATTTAGCAGATTTTATATATTCTTGTAAACAGCACAGTCTGACATCTCATGGTAATGTTACGTGCCTATATCACCTCATGTTACCAAACAGGAATTTTTGTTTTAACTCCAGCAACTTCCCCTAACTCAATATGCCCATTTCAAAGGCCACCACTGTGGCCATCAGCTCCATAAGAGAAGTTTTAATTTTTTGTCACCCAAAAACATTGGGGAATTTTCAATTCTTTTTAAAATACTGTTTTCTTGACAGGAAGCCCACAAGTAACCTGCACACCTGTAAACCACCCCCTTTATTTTCCATGTGTACATGAAAAACCTCCAGAATTACAAAGTGGAAAATAGAGGGAAGGGGATTTTACTTCTTTTTCATGGGTAATTTGTATTTTACACATGCAAAAACATGACATGTATTTTATTGTTTGCTTCCTATACACATTCACCCACAGCAAACAGTCAAACTTGACTTATGCCCATCTATCTGAATACAACATTTTGCTTCCCTTCAAAAGGAAAAAAAACAAAAACAAACCCTACGGAGATGATTTGTAACATTTTCATCTTCACAGCTTACTTCCCATTTCATTACTTTGCTATCAAGTGAGGATAGAATTATTCTTTTTTTTTTCTTATTTTGCTTTGCCACCTTACATGTGATCTAATTTTAAGTAATTGAACAAACTGTGTCTAATTTCATGCAGCAAGCAATAATTACTAGACAGCCTCTAGCTATTGGAATTGAGAAGTCTGTCTCCATTAAGCAATTTTCAATTGTTCTGGACTTTTTTCCAAATAGACAAGACTGGATAAAATTAGCCATCAGAATAATACAGTCACTGTAAAAATAATTGCTTTAAAAGTCCCAAACCCCCAAATTCCTCAAATTGCGGTATGTTTAAGGTCATCTGATTTTTTTTTTCTTCATATCCTAGTACAGCATAAACTTTTAATTTCATGATAAATCTGTAATTGCCATAATCACATGACAGTCTGGGATTTCACATAGCTAATCCCTCTTAGCTGAAGGCTCACAATGCAGCAGGCTTTTTAACTATCATTCGGTGTGGTTTAAAGTAATCTTAAACACTAGGCATCCTTATTATATAAGCTTTCTGTGGATTGTACGAGTTGTTCCTTTGTAGGCTAAAAATAAAATAAATAAAATAATAAAAATGACTTGACAAAGAATCAGCGTGCCACAGGCTAGGTTGCTATAAAAACATTCAAAGCCTTGTTGCATTCCCACCCACAGGGCTCAGAAGGCCTGTGCTACAGGCAAAGGCAGACATCACATTGCAACAGAGAGAAAGGGGGAAACCCTGAGAACTGCCATTTTATGAAGAAATAGGAAATTCAATCGAAAGTGTTGCTGTTTGGCCCTTATTCTGCCTGTGCAAGAGCGACAAGTGCCTTCCGAAAGCTTTCTAATGGTTGTTTAAAGGGATAAAGACACATGTACATAGATATGGGTATACATATTTGTGTGTATATAGGCATATTATATTTGCATGAGTATGTATAAATTATGTATACAAATATATATATATATATTAGTCAAATGGTTTTGTTTAAGATAGTCCCGTGAGGAGCAAAAAGTTGGATTTGATCCTTATGGGTCCCTTCCAACTCAAGATATTTCATGATTCTATGAAATATATAAATATATATATATGGAAGCATGTCTAAAAACACCACACTGACTCCAGTTGCCAAGTCCACCTATCGCTCTGGATCACTTTGGGATATCAAAGCAAACTGTTCAATAAACAGTGACTTGAGACCTTTACTTTGTTGTGTACATTAGCTCCTACCATTATCTCTTAAAAGCTTAATTATTTGCAAACAATTGATCAAGATGGGAATTGGAGAAAAGAGACGCCGGACCACCGGGAGAGCTGCAATGCATTAGGAGAGCAAATAGAATTACCTTTAGGTCTTATAATCAGAATTAACGATTGGGACCTTATGCAGGGCAGCACGAGGAGCTGTAACGCTCATGTTGGAGTGTTTTCCATTTGATCTGCATTAACACCTCAAGTGAAAGCCATAAAACAGTGATTACAGATGGGAAGGCTGACCCTCCTTCCCAGAACCAGCCCAGCCTGTGTATACTGGAAGACTGCAGACGGGTTTTCTTGCCAAGGCCAGAGGAAAAGGGCAAATCCAAGGGGAAAAACAAGCAGGAAGCCATCAGGTTGAAAAAGAAAAATTAAAAAAAAAAAAAAAAGGGCATAAGGCTGACAACAGATAAGGGCTCTGAATTTGGCTCTGATATTTTCTGATCAAGCCTGCTGCTGCTACAGCACTACAGAGTAGCATCCACCGAACAATATGAGACCTTGTGCTTTTCCTCTTCCATAAATCTAGCGCTGAAATGCGGATTGTTTGGCACCATTAATGTGTTTTTGAGGCTCTGTGGTATTACTTTTAATAATGACTTAGTACAGAAAGTGATTGCTTAATAACACCATCAAAGTCTGCATGCAAATGAAAATTATCCCTGGGGGATTTGCCCAGGGTAATATGAACAGTTAAGGAACATTTGAAAAGGTAAAAATAACTATGCAAAATATGAGTCAGAGCAGTCGTTTTAGCAGTAACAAAGAAATCAAAGTGACAGAGGGAAAAATGTAAGTTTCCATCATATTTTCTCGTCACTGTTTTATGAATGGTATTTAGCAAGCAATAGTCTTAATAAAAGCCCCTTTTCGAATGTAGCTGAGAGCATTTTTAGCAAAAAAAAAACCAATAAGACTTTTTTTTTTTTTAATCACCTTTGACTACAGACGGTGGGTAAAGTCTCCAGTAGATACGGATGGAAAGCAGCCAAGTTTGTCTCTTAATGTTACACCTTGTCCAAATGTACTCCTTTCCTCAAATTTTCCACCCCAGGCGGCAAATGCTGGATCCCAGGACAGTGACAGACTTTATCTTATCTGTAACCTGGTATCAGAAACACTCCCTCCCTCTCTGCCGTAGCAGTGCATCCAAATTGTGGCAGAAAAATAGGAAAATAATCCCGCCCAGAGTTCACCGCTGAGATAACGGAAGGCAAAACCACCCCTTCTCACTCCCCCCAGGTTACTAATTCCTCATGGCACCAAACCGGCTCAACACCAAGGCTGACAGCCAGCCCTACTCCAGCACCGAGGCAGGAGCAGTCCCCAAGCAAAAGGTTTCATGCTACGTTAGAAGGAGGCTGTGGCAACTGTCCAGCGTCACCCTTATCGTGGCAGTGCTGTCGCTTGGCTGACTGCACCGGCAGAGCCATCTCGGAAGTCCTTTTATCCCCTTCCTCCAGCCCTCTGCCTCCTCCAGAGTTCAGTGTAATGCACCAAGGTGAGATGACCTTGAGCTAAACTCTGGTAGGTGATGGAGAGAAAATCCCCCCCTAAAATGTATGCCCTCAGGAGCATTTATTAACTGTTTTCTTATGTCAAAATAGAAAATAAACAAACAAACAAACAAACAAACAAAAAAACCCCACTATAAATTTCCTAGTTTCCGAAGAGAAATCCAGCCTAACTCAGTATCCAGAATAAAGTCCAAGGTTCAGCCCTCCAGTGACAAACTGCACATTGATTTTGTGCTGAACTCTAAATTCTTGCTTTACTCAAACTTGTCGAGGGTCAGCTAAGGTGGCAGCGCAGCCGTTTGGGTCTCTCCCCTTCCCCTACCTTCTCCTGGTCTGCATTTGAACTGTTTACATTAGTGATCAAGTTGATCTACGAGAAATTACATTTTTTTTAAATATCCATAATGCTTTCCTATTGTCTCTCAGCTTTATGAATTAGTTTTACTGTTGCAGTG